TTTAGTTTCCCAGGCTTTAACCAAGAGGGCATAGTGATCCTCCTACAAAGACAGAAGTTATTTAGAACACGAAGAAGAAAGAAAAGTTAACAGCCATATTTTCCTTAGGGAAGCAGGGAAAACCCTTGTGTGGCAAAACTTAAAAATGTGAATTACAAGATCTGTATTTAGACTACAAATTATAGCAAGCAGAGCTTGCCACGTTCCTCACCCGGGGAATATCATCGTCATCGTCATCATCGCTTTCATCATCTGCAATAGGAGGGGGGTGAGGATCGGGGCCCGATGTGATAAAGTTCTCATAGCTTAGCTCCATTTTATAGTGGCAAGATGTGTCACTGTCATATTCTGCAAGACACATATGGAAATAATGCGATCATAATGCACTAGAAGGCATGCAAAAATATTCCATGAAGTTTTGAGAGATATTGCATTCCATGGTCTCCAATCAGTCTGTGGAAATGTAAATGCATTTTGACATAGCATAACCAACTGGCTGATTCAATCAACTATAACATCTCATTGTACTCAAAGCCCTAATAAGATAATTTCTCATTGTAGTTGCGTTAATTGCAAATAATTTGTGCATCCATATAAAGGAAGACCAAAGTAAGATTTTTTTTTTTAATTGCCTTGTCTAAAATCAAATAAGGATGTATTTGACAGTGCTGGTTGTACTGCTTTACCTAAATAGGCAGTACCTAAGGACTGCAGTCAGGATGTGCTTAAATCCTATTTAATTGATTTTAATTTCTCCTGAAAGAGATTTAAAAAAGAAAAAAATTAATCATCACTTTACGTTGTTGAGCCGTAGCAACAGCAGCAATTCTACAAGGAGGTCCATGGGTCCCAGGATCAGATGCTATGCTGGTGCCAGCATCGTTATCACTATCAGAAGCCATGGCAAAAGGCAACGCTTCAAAGTTGGCGCTTATTTCTTCAGCTAGGTCAATACACAGATCCGCAGCATTCCTGTGAGCCTGTCCTTCAGCATAGGCAAACTGGCGAGACCCGAAGTTAGCACGGACTTTCGTGTTCTGAAAGGAGATGCACATAAAAGCATTAAGATGAGCTGTGGCTTGTTTTGATCCTTCTCTTTGCTCTTTTTAAAAAAAACTCAGCCAAAGCGATACGCTGATCACATCTCCGTGCCATATGGTTTTCCCAGCATCGCTAGCTATAAAACTGGATGCAGCAGGGAAAGTATTAAGCTTCTGAACACAAACTTTGAACTTGCCTTTTTTCTAGCTTCAAGATACAGCATGCTTAGTTAGTATACTTTGAAGCAAGGTCACTGATGGGAAGGAATACTAATAGAAGAGTACTAGCACAGATAATGCCATCTCATCAAACCAGCTGCACATTATTGTCCTAATGGGCAGAAAAAGTTCAAAATAATGAAAAAACTCCATATATGCACCTGGGAAGGGTAATGGAATACCTCAACTGAACTCAAAGGTAAAAACTATCACTCTACTTTTTTTATAGATAGGTAAGCAGCCTCAATACTTTCTATATGTTTTCAATATTTCTGAAAGCGTATGTATCAAGCAACATATTTCTGTTAAAAACTTGCCTTTTTCTGAATGTGGACGACTGGCCACATTCCACCAGAGACATCTTCTAGATACGGCCCAAGTCGCTGCCCACAATACGTAAAATAAACTCTGCCTTTAGCTGGCTGCCCTGGAGGGGGTGGAGTTCCTTCTGTTCTTTCCCATCCAATTCCTGCTACATCACCTGTAGAAAAAGATAATCCCCAAAAGAAGAACATGGATTTAATCTGTTTTCCCATCCACTGTTTCCCTTACATGTAGAGGATTTTCTGATTTACCAGATAAGCAAGTTAGCTGTACTCTTACATACCAGGCGACAGAGTCACATCCAGTCTAACACTCTTCCACTGTAGCAAGCTGGAGCCGTTGTAATGCACTGCTCGCCCATTGCTGAGAAGCAACACAAGAAGAAAATTAAAAGTGCACTGAAACAAATAAGGATTACAACTCGCTACCAGCTGAAGTCTAGGTAGCTGCGATACTGACAAAAGGCAACTCAACTCTCCTTATTTTGATCAGGAGATATTCTAGTTCATCATTTTAACATTTCAGTTAAAATGTATGTGTTGCCTACTACAATATGCTCACAATACTCCTCCTTAAGAAGCTTACAAATGTATCGAGCAAGACCATGATTTTTGATGTACATCATCTCCAACGTACTTGTGAAAAAGACACGTGCCCACTGGGTTTGTCCAAGCACCATCCCGTTTTTCGGCTTCTGTAGCAAATCCGAAGGAAACTATTGGTCCAGTGTCATCATCTGTATCTCCATAGGAAACTATTTCAATTTCCCAGTAGAATGATGGTGCCTGGAAATAATAATAATTTAAAAAAAATTATTTACAAAACAGGTAAAATCAAAAATTGTCTTTCTTTTTCTTTTCATGCACTATTGAGTACTAAATGACACAAAAACTGTTGTACAGTTGTGAGTTCTCACCTGTACTGGAACTGGTGAAGTGGCATAGATAAACGTGCCCCGAGGAAGTCCCCCACCTGCGCTAGGATCAGCCAAAAAGGTCACAGCCGTGAGATGCGATGAAAACATGCATGCTCGCACAGGGGGAAACACTCTTGATGGGCTCCAAGTGATTTCTTTGGGCTACAAACAGGAACAGAGCATTTCATTCTACCAATTGCAGTTGAAGTCATCTACTGAAATCCAATGACACGTTCTTTCATGAAATGCCCATTTAATACCATACATGCAACTGCCAGGACTGCAGTCACAACAAATCACATCCCATTACAGAAATTCACATTAAATGAAGTGTTTAAATAAGAATCCAACCGGTTTGGCTCCAACACCATAGGCAGACCCCTCTGCGCTCAGTGGCTGGCTTCATTTGCAAGGGGCAGAAGACTCAGCACTGTTTCTGTGCTCACCTGTCTTCTGTCTGCTTGGAGCGGAGGAGGGGGAGGTCGAGCACAGTCACGATACAACATTCGTAACCTTTCACACTGCATTTCTACAACAAGGAGCCTCTCCCCTGTAACAACAAACCAAACCAAGTCATGAGGTTCCAAGCAAATCTAGTTACTCGAGTCCAACAATGCAATCTTAACACCAGTATATAGAAACAACTATGACATTTGCATTTTAAGAGGTCTGATCAAATAGTCTCGCTTAACTAATCAACAAAATGAAGGACAAAATCTAATGTAGACAAGCAATTGTTTTCCTTGTGTTCAATTTATACTTTGTTAGCAAAGACATTGTTACGTTAATTAAGATATAAAGTTGACTTTAGCGAGCAAGTTTATGACCCAGCAAAAGCAGGAAGTCAAAAGAATTTATGCCTACTGTCAAAAAAAATCAGTATGCTCCCTTTTACATTGGAGATCATACTGAAATCCACTTGGTTCCTACCCTAACATCCTTCGCTTCAGCCACTTTTCCTCCAATGAAAGGTTCTGACATGTTCCTAAAACTGGCCCTTGAACTAAGACTTCTGCTGGGCCCACTGCTTATCCTTAAACAAGAGGGAAGGGAAGCAAAAGCTCAGTGATAAGGAATATAAGAAAGCATTGTAAAAAACAGCAAAAAGGTCATAAAAAGAAAACATATAAGTGATAATGTCAAGGCACACAGATTACATTGGAAGCAAGAAAAGCACAGAGGGTTCAGAAGCACAGTAGCAGAGAGCTAGTCCCAGGACTTGCATCTTCTGTGATGCACAGGATAATCATGTTCTGGCCTAAACCTTATGCCTAATGTTCAAAATGATTTAGTCTGATTATTAGCTACTCTTACATTAACAGCTCTGCAGCTACGACAAGACATACTGTACCGTGCTAACTATCAAACTCTAAGTAGCTGGAGGACAAAACACTGAAATGATTTTAAAAGCTGTTATGTCTCTGAACTGAATACGTCAATGAAGCTGCAAGAACGCCTCGAATACCTACCAGGGCTGCACTCCTGCGCTACCAAATTAAGAACTTCTACAGCAGCTGGACACTGTTGAATGAATTCTTCACAGAATGAGCTGTCTTCTAACAGCTGAGCCATCACCAGGCATGCTCTTAATGGAAAAATAATATGTTTAAAGCATTACCAAAGCGTATGCTGAATTCAAAGTTGTCTTTACATGTACTGAATTCAAGACCATTTCAAAAGACAGCACGCCGACTGATCTATTTCTTTGGTTGCTTAGCTATCCATTGGAACTTCCACAATGACAGCTTTCCCCCAATTATAACATTTACTTGTATGAAGCATTTGCTCAATGCATTGTCAGTGTTAGAGGGGCACTTTATTTTTGGTGCTCATTTTAACAACATCCAGACACTAAATGTACTTAAGGAAGCAAACAAGAATTCTTGCGTTGCCCCCTGCTGTTGTATGTCAACACCCACAGGGGAAGAAAACAAGAACCCAAGCAATTTTCTTGAACATTTGCGTACAGTATCAAAACAGACTGGGGTGCTGCACAAAAACCAATGACTCACCTGGTTCTTATTTCAGCAAGAAGCCGGACCACTGCCATTACTGGAGTTGAGCCATCTCCTGTTGCAGGAAGTGAGGTGTGAATAGATAGACTTCCCTCCTGAGGGAGCAACATGGACTGGACTGCCTGTACTACCTTCTCAGTAATGGACAGTTTATGAAGAGGCAATGCCTGATGGTGGGGGGGCACGGTAAAAAGTTAAATTCAAGTAGTTAGTTTCTAAGAAATGAGGGCGTTTTATTACCTGGAGTTAATTCTCATTTTGTACTATCACAAAACCAGCAAACACCAGTCAAAAAAAGAAAAAACAGAAACAAAACCAAAAAACCCAACACAGTATGCAATGGAACATCTTTAAGCACCAAAAGATGAATAATACCCATGTTACTTGAATGAGAACTTAAATATAGATATTGCTAAGATATGTTTAAAATAACGAGGCAAACTTTACAAATAATATTTAATCAAAGATCAAACAGACTTTTTACAGGCTATAGATTAATTGCCAGTATGCTGTGACAAAAAATAAATAATTGATATTATACTTAATATTGGATTCTTAAAGCTACCGTACCTCGGATCTTGGAACACAGAGCCTAGATAATGGAATAGTTAATGTGTCTGATGCTTGTGAGGTCTTTCTACTGTCTATACTGGTAGGTGGAAATTTGACCGTTGCTATACCTTCTTGTTCATTAATAGATGCCACAACTCCAATGCTTCCTGCTATTCCTTTACCTAAAACCTACAACCAAAGAAGGTCTGCGTGAGATTTAAGGCTTCGCAAACACCGAGTGTTTAACACCACACTCCAACTCCACACACAATGAGAGCTGTGTATTTTAGGAAACAGGAGTAACACACAATAGCCATCTCTGCAACTGTTATCGCAACTGCTTCACAATCGCAGGCAATCTGCACACTGCTTCACGAGCATGCAAATGCAGGCAAGACACCATCAAAAGCACCAATTGTCATTTAAGATCTAAAACGTGAACGGCGCTAAATTACCTGAACTTCAGAACCTATTTTAATTGTCTCCTTAAAGCCACCCAGAGCACAAAGGGCAGCTACTGCCTGCCGAGCAATTCTTTGAAGTTTAGCAAGTTTCCTTCCACTGCTACTCCCATTCTCCAGAATACTCTCTGCATATTTCCCAAGTTGTGGAATGTACATCAGAGCCCGAGACAGAACCTGAAGACAGAAGCAAAAATACCAGAGAATGACTTCAAAGCACAATTCAAACAAAAACCAACGCCCCAAGCCTCCAGCCCACACACAGTCTCAGAAGAATTATTTTTGTTCTTGAAGAGAATTATATAACTCAGAATATTCTAAGTTCTCTGAAGTGTGAACACCATCAAAGCCGGCTCTGTTCCCTAATAACTTTTAGAATCACAGAGTTACATACATAATCTTAGCAAAAGTCTTCGCTCAAGGATTTAGCCTAAGCAACAGCTTAGGTGCTACAGGATTCAGAGGAACATAAAAGCAACGTGCTGTACTTCCCAGCCAATGGCTTTAGACCCTCAGAGGTCATGGCAGAGGACTTAAGAGCAAAGGTAGAATAACTATCCAGCAAAGGCAAGATAACTCCCTAAACAAACAGCATTATTCATTACTGAAAAGAATGACAGGTGAATTACAGAATGACAACACATTCTCTAATGCTGGAGAATTTTTGATTATTTATTCCACCCTAAGATGTCAGATAGATACCATCTACCAGAAAGGGCTGCTTCTACGCAGTTATACATCCCGGTTTGAAGCATTAGAAGTAGTAAATCGGAAAGGAGTAGCTTAGGAAATTCCTAGTAATTAAGTTCTCAATACATGCTTGGTGTAGATTTTGATACTTAATCTTCTGTTTGCTTACTTTTTCAGCAGTTGTTGTCCATATCTGAGCTGCATTTGATTCTGGTGCCATCAACAAGCTATGTAGCAAAGCGATCACCTCTGCTGCCATGCTGTTTGCAACATGACCACTAATGAATGGCCTCACGGGGTCCGTCCTATACAGGAGAAGAAAGCAATTTGCCCATTAATTTCAAAACAAGAGGAGGAAAAGAAGCTTCAGTTGTCAACAACAATACACAGCACAAAAAAGGGAATTTTATGAATACCCAGATTATTTTCTAGAGCACTACAAATACTGGTATACAGAAAAGCAGGATCTAGACTCTAACTATAGAATCAGTGACCTACCTGGCAAGCTCAGAATTCCTCTCTCTGCAAATAGATGTTTGTGCGGTCTTCTTTTTGTCCCCAGTGGACAACCCACTGGTAGTTTCTGGATTGACGGTTTCTATGGGTGGCCCAACACTAACTATTAGACCAGACTGTGCCCATTTAGTTGCCTTTCGAAGAGCAGCAGCAGCTTCTTCTGTAATAACTTCACAGCAGCCGCTCTGAAAATAAAATTGCCATATAAGACAAATACTAATGTTAGCTCTATTTGGCCACACTATGTGATGCATTTAACTCTCCTCCCTCTGCATACGTAAAAGTACTGAGAACACATCAAAACATCCTCCTGTATACGTATTAGTCACAGTCGTAAGACAAATTCTTTCTGTTGCTTTTTCTCATCTACAAAGAGACCAGAGATCAATGTGGATTCATTGCCTTTAATATTACATTCTTCGCTTAACAGTATAGTTTCTCTTCTCTGATCAAAAAGCCACACATGAGTATTTCTGGTGCGAATACTCAAGAACATGTCTGAAAAAATGTAATTTAAATATGTGGTTTAAAATTCATACTATCAACATGCATTAAACACTTCAGGAAAGAGAATATTAAAGGGGCTTAAACATGACCTGCAGCGGTTGGAGGAAGCATTAGCTGAAATTCTTTTTCATCATTTACCCCTGTATTTACATCAATAACTACATAATGCTAACATTACATATAAAGATAACTTTCTGAACAGTTCTGTAAATTAAACAACATTTAACAAAGGGGATTTAACATCAGTAAAAAAACAAGAATTCTGACTGGCCACTGATTTTTACAATGTTGAATAATTCTTTACTTATTCCTTTTCTTACTTTTGTCATGTCTCGATCCATTTTCACCACTTTCTCCATATTGGCTCCAGTTCCTAGTCGGAATGGACGACCTTCGGAGCTACTATTAAAGTGAAAACAAAACACATTAGCTTTGTTTTCATTGGTGGAAAAAACAGCTGAATAATACAGTCTAATTTAATGTATTATGTGTGTTTTTAAATTATTTGGAAGCAACCCTTGCAACTGAATTGCTCAACAGTAATAGAAATACCTGGTATTTAAGGACATACCCAATCGCACTGTAATTTACAAAAGGAATTTAATATTAATGAATGTAGTTATTTGCACAGCAATTTAACCCTTCCCCCCTCAAAAAGAAGCATCATGAAATTGGCTTTTACTGAACACAAATGCCTGAGGGCTCCGAGTTAACCTTTCACCTAAGAACACCCAACAGCTGTGCCTTTTAGTAACATTTTTAGGGCACGGGTTCACAACTGACTTGAGTGGGGAAAGATGAGACAGATAGTACAAAAGGCAAGAGGTGATCATGTTGGCTGTTTGACATTCAGAGATCTCAAAATCCAGGTGGATACTAAGACTACTAAAGAAGCTGTAATAGCAAATTATTATCCAGCATATGTATCATTAAAAGCAATGCTTTTCAAGCCATTTTACTTCGACAGTTCTATTTGTTAGTCCTACATAGTCTGTAATACCATAACAAGATACGTTCAATTTTTCTGATGGAAAAAGTAAGTAGCTAATTTTTCATGTGACTGTCTTCAGACAGATTAAGATGTTTCTATGTTCCTTTGCAAGTGGCTTACATGGCTTGTAAGCAAGGCAAAAGCAAAACGTCACACTTCACATCCCCCTCCTCCTTTTATACATCTGTATACTCTGCTCTGTTTCAGCTTTGCTGCTCTCATCATTGCAAGTAGTCTCCTACAAAACAGACTAGTCCAGGAAGCATCGGGATTTCGATTCTTGCTGCTGCTGCCTCACCACAAATTCAGTATAGTGGTATGCATTTTGATCCAGGTAACAGTAAGCTAAGCATCAGCCCTATAAACCATTTTTGCATTATCTTCTTATTTCGCCAGTAAATGCAACAAATTGGGAAGACATTTTGCTTTCCCATTTACTCTTATGTCTAGGATGCATTTTTCTACAGCTGTAGCACTAAAAAAAGAAAAGAAATGGAACTGGCGAAATTGGTTGCTAATTCCAATCCAGTGAGTTAAGATTACCTTAGTAATGGCTGAAGGACTTCATGGGATGACTGGTCTTCCCGTTTATGAATAAAAATTGAAAGTTTACCATCCACTGCCTCGCTTTCTTCTCCAGGATCTTTATCGCCTTTTATGGAATTTTTAGGGCTGGCTTTTGCCAAAGTAGTATCCGGCTCAGAGGCAGTTGGAGAAAGAACCGTCTGGCATCCTTGAAGTAGAAAGGAAAAAGCCAAAACAAAGAAAAACACACAACCATCAGCTCCATCAACAAACTTTCTTGCCATTGAAACTAACATCAAAACACCCAAGATGCATCTAAAACATCACTGTGACACACACCTTAGTCTGAGAACAGTTAAATTAAGAGGCAGATAGGAAGTCACAGAAATGTCCTATATTTCAACACTGACATATCATATACCTTTTCCTACTTGAGCTTTCTATCAATACAAGAGCTCCTTGCACAAACATGACTTGCTTGGCAATTTCTCAAATTAGCCTAACACCAAAAAGATGCTGGTACCTGGTACTACATAATCCGCCAGCTTTGCCAAGAGCAGAGAGGCAATCTTGGAGGCTGGGTCACTGGGATCATCCTGTTCACTGTTCAGAGAGGGTACAGAGTAACTCCAGGGAGGCAATTCCACATTTCCACAGTCCTCAACACTCATCAGAGGCAGTGCAGCACGACACAACTGAAGGATTATAAGGACCAACTTTGGAGAAGGACGCTGATCCAAGAGAAGTGACAGAAGCTTGGACACACAGGCTGGCTGGCTCAGGATTGCTTTACCTATATGACTCCTGCAAGGGAAAAAAAAAAAAAAACCAACAGGTAATTGCTTTTTGGAAAAAAAAAAATTGATAGTTCGATGATGCTCTTGTAAATAATAAATTCATTTGTTTTCACAATGTAATTGAAAAAAAAAAACAAACAAAAAAAACAAACCTTGACAGGTCATTAAGAAGACTGAGAACATCTTGAAGTGCGTCATTTCCTGCAGCTTGATTACCACAACACTCCGTGGCTCGTGCGAGGTGGTTGGTAAGAAGGCTGGAAACCTGACGAGCCAGACCAGAGTGAACAGCTTCTGTTGAACCACCTTTAAAAGTAATGCAAGAATACACAATTATAATTAACAAAAATGAATGTACACATCTACAAATGCCTTACCCATCAACTAAAAATAGTAAAAAATATTTTTGTTTTGCTATGGCAAAACATTTATATATAAAATGTCTTTAATTAAAAATAAAACCTGCCACAACATCTGTGTTCCGTTAGCCAATAGCCACGTATCTATAAGTTTACATATGTTATGGGTGAATCCTAACACAGGAGAAGTGCATAAGTGATCACCCAGGGTCTCCTGGTTCTATGGTTATGTCTAGCCAGAACCAGGTGGCAGACCTGGAGTTATGTGCAACACACACACTCCTATGAGGAGGAAAAGCTAGAATTAAAAAAAAAAAAAAAAAAGGAAAGAAAAAAACCCCAAACCCCCACAACAATAAGAAAATCAACTTATTTTTGTATCCACTTGTGTGTTCTAAAGGACCCAAACAGTACGGAAGTCATGGTGAGCGAATGCCCTATTTTAAACACATTTACACCACTTCTCAAGCGCTTGCACAATTCTAAAGTACGCAGTAGAAATATAGTCGGCAGTGTTCCTACCTTCTTCTTTCTCCCATTCGACACAGCGATTGGCTAGCACCTGGAAGGCAGCCCAAGCCATGGTGGCCACCTTCTGTTTCTTGGTCTGTTTTTCATTTGAACTGGATTCTGTCTGGCTGCTTAAACTGCAAAGCCGGTCCATAAGTTGTACCAGGCCACTACGTACCAAACACTTCTCTTCGCTCCTGTATGAGAAGAGAAATTCAGATTTTACTTAAGTCAGATTTTACTTTCAGTCACTAACAACAGACAGGATGAAAATCCAGAACTTGTTGCTTACTTAGCCATTAATTACTTCACTTTGCAGAAAGATGGTTCTGTCTCTCCCTTGTCCTCCCCACATGAAATTCTGTACTCTGAGAAAATTTAACAGGATGTTCTCAGATACCCTTCATTGTGAAGAAAGGGAGTATATTTATACCATATAATGCTTCTCCTTAAGGCAAAACCTAATAAGCACAGCTGTGGATGCCCTCCTTCCCTTTCTGAGAGAAATACTTTCATACCTCGTGTAAGGTATAGTGCATAAGAGGCCAATGCTATTTGCACAAGCAATGGGGTAGCGAGCACACAGCGAGACCACAGACGTCATCGTTTCTCCAAAGGCTTCCTGGACTTGTTCCACCATCCCGCCACACGTGAGCTCTTCAATTCTGTTGGTAGTTAGATATTTGAAATGGTAGGCCTTTTAGGTTAAATAAAATGAACAAACTTCCAAATACAACTTAAAAAAAAAAAAAAATCAGCATATATTAAGAACTACTCAAGGAAGACTTAGAAGCAAAACTGCAAGTCACAATGTTTTAGTACGAAACATATGTAAACAAGATAGTATGGTAGTTTTACCTCAGACATGACTGAAATTTGACTACAAACAAAATATTTATCAAATTTAGATGACAGTACTAGTATCAGCTAAATCTACCACTAATACCTAATTAACACAAGTTTAGAATTAAGTCAGGAAAGTAAGATACCCTATATACGTATCTGTGGATATCTTGTCCCAGTATGAAAGGAAATTTCATCTACTGCCAAATAAAAGCATTTCTTGGAAGTTTCTGCCTTAGCACCCCACAAGGGCCAATAAAAGTGGTTGTTGCAAGCTTTGTTCTGCAAACTTGAGCCCTCACAGCTAGTCACTTCTCATGGTTTTTCCTTGCACAAAGGAATTTACTATCTTCTGCAGAGACCAAAACATTTAATTATTTTCAGAGAAACAAACAAACCTTGGGCCTCCCTGAAGCACCATGGTCACTGGACCTACAAGATGCGTCACACCACCAACCCGAACAGCTGCCGTCAGCAACTCTCTCATATGCACTAGGGCTTGCTTCCTCGTATTCCCACGACGCCACCTCGTCTGAGCAGCTAGCAGGAAACTGCTGCTGGATACCTACGAGATTTTGTTAGTTGGTTTTGTTAGTGAGACACAGGCAAGACACCTCCTTTCTTTGTGAAAGTTTGAATTTGAAAATGTCATGATTTAGCACATTTAAAATGACATACCGCTTGGTCAGGATTTGTTCCAATGAAAGCAAACAGTTGCCCCAGCAGAACACTGTACGTGGGTTTATCTCTGCTATCCTCAATAGTCAGTGACTGGAGAAGAGTGAAAGAGCTGCTTCTATGGCTGGTAACATGGCGTCGCCTAGGAGAATATAGGATAATTACACCTGGCAGCACTAAATTGATCCAAGGAAAATAAAAAGTGCTATGCGTGCAAAGTTTATGATGATTTTAACAACATAGGCCACATTATTGTAAAGCAGCTTAGCGGAATAAACCCTTGTATACCTTTGACTTGATCTAGCAAACTCGATATCTTCGTTACCAATCATTTCTAAGTCAGATGGTGCCGACATGCTGCGAAGGAAGACAGGCTGGCGGACTGCGTGAGATATCACTTTTGTTTCAGATGCTGATTTACAGGCTGCAATATTACACAATATGAAAGAATGTCACTCCTGGCGTAGGAGGTTATTTGCAAACTGTTTTTAAAATCACTGTGGACATTCCAGTGAAAGCCACAACATAGGATGGTGAAAACACAGTCTAAGCAAGAACTTGCAACTCAGTTCTGACAAATTTCCTGTTTTCAGGTATTACTTCAAGTTAGTTTTGATTAGGTTAAGCATTTTTTCCAATAATTCAGGAGACTAAAGTTTAAATTCCACATATTATTACTCAAACCATCATCATGGAAATCAGAAAACAAAGATTCAACTTCATATACTGTAAAAGAGTTTATTTAATTTGAAAAATTTTAAAAAAGGTTTAATTTTAATTTAAGTGAAAGAGGAAGAATAAGAGAAAAGGAATAAATTATATCTTCAGGAAATAAAAAGAAAAGTACAATGCTGGTAATGAGATATATACCTGGAGTCTCTGCAGGGGTACCAGATATACTTCTTGTGATTCCAGACTGTGCTGCAATAGTGACATGTAATAACAGCTCTGCTCTGTTCATCAAGCTCTTAACTAATGTTTTTGTTTTTGCTAGGGGATGAGAGGTCTTCTGTATCAGTGAATTCACCTCTTGAAAAAACTTCTCCCTAAGATTATGAAAGAAAAATAAAAGAAGCAAAAACTCAATTATGTTTTAATGCCTTCTGAAATAAAGTGTTACTGTGAGAAAGAAGACATATAGCATCAAACTATTCTATGCCAATAAAGTAGAAAGCAGAAAAAAAATAACCAAGTGATTTGTTAGTAAGTACTAGTAGCTGTAGGTTCTAATATTAATATATTCATCACAAGTTTTTTGAAGAATTTAATCAGCTATTGCTAGACAACAGGAGAATGAAGTTTTAAAGTATCCGCATCCCTCGTTAGAAGTTCATCTGTATGTTCCTGCTCCCAAAGACTGTTTTATTTCTATAGGTTTACCAGCCTTTAATGAAATTAGACATGAATTTTTTTGCAACATTTAGTGCCAGCTTCTGTTTCACATCGTTAAGTGTCACAGGGTACAATGACATCCAAGTGCCCACTTCAACAAGCATCTATGTATGTATGCAACTTTAACCCTGCATACCTACTTTTGGAACTCACTGAAATTACACAGCTGCTTAAAGTTGCCTATCTTAAGGACCTTGCCTAAATGGTACACTCCGCAGCCAGCTACTAACCTTAATGCCAGGACCACATTCTCAAGATCACTTCCATCAAAAGAAACTTCTTTCATTGAACACAGAAGTTCTAGTTCTTTCATCTTGCTCTAAAAAAAGTGAAGGAAAGGGATGAACATGTATTGAGAGAGCAGCATGAAGCATGAGCACGCACAGCGGCCACAATGCTTACCTCATTGAAGTGATAATCATAAAAGAACGGGACGTTGTTCTCCAGCTTCCCGTGCATGGCATCATCTACCTCATTCTGCCATTTCTGCTCCAGCTCAGCCACACTCTAATAAAAGAGACAAAAAATAACACTTACTGCAGTTGTTCATCTTAAGGAGTAAAACAGATCTTAAAAGATGAAATCTGAGTTCATTTTGTATTTCTAGGTTTCTAAAATTCTATTAATACACCTTTACTCTCAAAAAAAGCCTTCTGGTTTTTCGTGTATTCTCATTTTTACCTGCAATTGTCTCTCCATGGCATTTAGCTTCTTAAAGGTCTCTCCCATAATTTTGCAAAGTAAATCATATTCTTCAGCATGCTCTTCCTGATACTGGAAATTTATCAGGGACTGAAGTGCATCAACCAAATTCAAGTGTTTAATCACACATGAAACTACCATCTCCTCCATTACTTCTGGCTGAATCACTTCCCTAGGGTTATAGAGAAAGCCAAACTGATTAAGCAAGAATAACGGACAAACTTTGACAATTCATATTTACAATTCACTAGATGCTGCATTCACAAACAAGTATTTACAGAATATTAAACGCATAGCATCATACACGACAGGCATGCCACATCCTTACCATCACTTTTTTAGCTCACTTACTTTGGCACCAAACATTTCAAAAAATAAAAGTCAAGTTAGAAAAATAGAGCAAACCAACAACTACTTACTTTATACTAGGTCTAAATTGAGGCCGAGCACGTCCAGAAATTTCCCTGAGTTTAATCATGATTCCTGGAGGCAGCCTAATCCTAGGCAGATCAAAATAGTGTCCAACAGGAGGCACTAGAACATCAGAGGGATACGTAAATTCTCTGTCTTCATCTATAGTAAGAGGCAATGGAGAAGGACTTGGTGTAAGGGCTGGAGATATTACACCATTAGCTTCCACCTGCCACTGGCACCTGGAAAAATAAATAAAAACAGATGAAAAGTTCTTTTTTTTCCTCCTCCTAACTCTCCCCCCTCATTCAGAAAGACACATTAGTCAACAGCACGTTACAAAGACAGACTACATATTAAGTGTGGCTTGTACCAAGCCTACCCCAATCCTCCTCTATTTACTCTAAAGAAAACCCCTGTTCTAGAGAACATTTCCTTAATTTTAGGCAACACAGAACTGCTGAACAAACTCTGCAGGAAAAATTATCAAAACATCACCTTAAAACACACGACTTCAGCACAACTACAAAAGTCACCTTCTCACAGAAAAAACCCACATGGGAACTCAGATCAATTTTTTTTTTTTACCTTTGTAATAATTTAGATCTTAAGAGCTCTTGACAGGTTTCTTCATCTTTGGTAATTTCTGGTCCATTGTATAATATTCGCAGCATAGAACAAGCTAATACAGAAAGGCCAAGTGCCAGGTCAACTAAGAATGGCAAGCCTCCTGACACATCCTCTGAAGACTCCTGTAGTAGGAATAGTGATAAGTTGCACTAATCAATCAACCATGAAGTCCTTCCCCAATACATTTCAATATAGGAGATTTTCTATTTTTATATATAATCTTTTATATAAAGATACAGATATGGATATCTATCAATCATATGTCTCTTACACAGAGTTATACTGAAAAAATGCTTAACAATTAAAAGCAATTTGTAAGAACAACTCAAGACAAGAAACAAAGGATTTAAACATTATTTTCCTGAACCAAGAAAGAGAAGAAAAGGTAAAGTTATTTTTGGTTCAGTCATTCTTTGGCCTGCAGATCTGTCATCTCACAGGCCTAGTCCTAGCTTCCTGGTGGTAGGATTCAAGTTTCCTTTTGTTTGATCCCAGCGTCCCTCCCTTCTCTTCTTTAAAGGCTGGAATCATTATTCCCCCATTAAATCTCTGATTTCCAGGTCGTTACAAGATACCCATCTCTCCAAAGAAATCCTGATCTACAAGCAGCAAGAGATATTAAAGTGACTTCATCCAAGTCCAGTGCCAAAGACAAGAGACAGATAAGACATATTTGGTAATAACTATCTTCATAAAACCCTAAGCATGCTACAGACCATGCCACAGGCTCTCTCTAGCTAAGGAAGCCAAACGTCTAAAACTTAGGGCCTTTACACTGTAGAAAGATGATTTTTCTTATTGCCAAAATAAGTAAACTATTACTGTTTAAAATTTCAAATGTTAACTTCAAACTCTGAAGTACATTTCTATCTATCTGAAGCGTGTAACAGACAGGAGAGAAAGCGAAGCGGAACCTATCCCGTGGAATCCGTCAGGTTTGAGTACCTGTGCTCGAACAGTGCAAGCAAAGCCCCACATAGCTTTGTCTGGAGTGTTGTGCTCACGACCACTCCGCATTTCAAAGGAGAAGGTGACTGTATCTCCTTCCACCTTAAAATTTTGATGGGTAGGAGGGGGAAAAAAAAAAAAAAAAAAAAAAAGACACATTTAAGAATTGAGGCAAACAATTAGGCTTTTCATAAAAGTGGCTTACTTTATGAATTAATGTTTTTAATGACAGTTATCTAAGTATTATTTTTATCTCCAGTGATATACTCTGATTTAAGATTCTTCCTTTTTTTGTAAGGATATCTTTTAGTGGACAATTTGATTTTAATTTTGCTGCTGGCTAACTACAGTAAAACAAAAAAAAAAAAGAAAAACCACCACCGTAAGTTGCAGAATCAAAAGTAGAATTTATCAGTCTGTGTTACTTGGCCTTGATTTTCATCAAAACGCTTTCATTATCTGTCTGCAAGAAGCCATGCAATAATCAACAGTTCTCTTCCTGAAGGAAGACAGACAAGCTCTTCAAGGAGAAGAATATCAACACATTAATAGAAGAGTTTCCTAAAAGAGCAATATAAAAATCTATATGTCTGAAAAATAAATGAAATTCCATTAATTGTGAACAATGGAGTTTTTGTCTGAAATTGCCTTCCAGTTTATTACTTCTTGGTTTTCTTTGAAATTATTTTATGTATATAAGTCCAGTTTTAGTGTGGGACAACGTAGCAGCACAAACACGTAAGAAAAAAAAATCATACTGCATACAATCTGAGAGAACATACTGCAAAATTCTTGAAATACTGAATTTTCAAGAAGTTTGGGGGATTTTTCTGTCTTAGCTTTACTGCCAAAAGCATCCAATGTAATTTTAAAACCCAAAACACAAATGGTTGGAAAGCTGCTACATTTACTACTTGTTATATTTGCGGGTTACTGTTAAAAAAAGGCAGTCATGCCCACGGACCTTAAGAAAATATGCACAGCCTCAGACTGCGCAAGAATTTTTCCTAGGAAGATATACTTATGAGAACAGTGGTGCCATTAGAGACTCCAGGACTGAAACATACCGATAATGAATTCCAGTAAGACATAACAAAACAAGATAACCTCAAAGAGATGTTATAATCACACATAACATACAGTTGAGTTTAAAGTTATTCCCCAAGGACATAACAGCCCACTTAAGTAATCTCATCATGGATAACTGTAGGCTTAAAAGCCTGGACTTCATTGCTACAAGGTTTAAAATGGACTCGACATGGTTTCCAAAGGGGATTTTTCTATGTGAAATATTGTTGGATTATAATACTGTACCTTTACTAAGTCTTTCGGCCAACCAGTTCCTAAGACACTACGGCTGCCATATCCCAGTGTATTGCCTCCATACTCAGCAACCTTCCTACTGTTTGTGTTAGGACCAGCATAGATCACCAACTTCAAAACATAAAATACACTGTTAGACTGTAAGAGAAAAACAAGAAAATCTAATAATAATAATAATACTTAGCACTTACACCGCGCTTCATATTTTCAAAGCGCTTTATCAACATTAACAAATCCTCACAACAGCACTGTGAGGTGAGTAGGCAAGTATTATTATCCCCATTTTACAGATGGGGAAACTGAGGCAGAGAGGAAATTGAGTGACTTGCCCCTGAGGTCACACAGCAAGTCAGCGGCAGAACTGGGAGCTGAAGTCAGGAGAAATCCTAACTTCCAGGCCTCATGCTGAGCTAACTAGAACACATCGCCTCCCTACTAATAAACAGATTGATCCTGCCCCCATCAAAGTTAGCATTTTGTCAGTGACTTCAGTAGGAACATGACAGGGCCCAAAGCTTTCTGGAGGAGTTTAACCAGTAATGGGTGACATTAATATTGAAGACGCTTATAAATAACTAATGGGAGTCCGTATCACAGGATTTGCTCTATGTTGAGGAATATATGGCAACAATTAGTAAGCAGCACAAGTAGCTCTCTGCTTATACAAAGTAAATAAGTGCTATTAGTTGTGTTCTTGAAATTGAAAAGACTTGTTTATATTAATCCATGTAAACAAGTCATTTATCATCGGGGGAAAAAAAGTAACCTTTCCAGTTCTGCCCAGTTTAAACAAACCATGCTGATTTACAAAGTAGGCAGCTAGATTAAAATTTGAGAAATAAGGAAAACTGAACAACAGCAAAAATAAGAAGGAAGTCAAACTTTGACAATCTGAGCCATCATGAAATGAACTAAAAAAAAATTGATGAGTTGGTATGAATACCTGAGGGAGAAAAGAAAACAAAACAAACCTCCCCCCGCCCTCAAACCCCACACCTCTGGTGCCTACTACACTTCTATTTCATAACTACCACTACTTCTGACATCTTTTGAGGAAACTTCCTAGTTACAGAGCCTAACTCTTAACAAGTGATCCTCATAACTGATAGGTTTTAAACATTGAAACAATCACTGGATATTATGTTCTGAAACGATACACAAGAAGAATTAATCATATACTCTTTTTGGATTGTTTCTTCAAAAAAAATAGAAATTAAACATGAATCATTTATCTTCATCTTCCTGCCTTTTCATGTCAACGACTCTTTGTACATTTTCTATCATTTAGCTAAGTCTAACCTTAAGATGAAACTCAAGAATTCTTTCGAAAAGTTATTCACACTTGTGCCACACAAGAAATAACCTCTCTGCATCCCTGTACTGTACACCCTTGAAGTAAGTAGACTGTGACATTACAGTGTGCGCTAATAAACTCCTATCAGTAAAAACCTCCTGTGTTATCCTGACCACTGGAAATCAGGTGCCATGAAAGACAAGGGGCAGAAAAGATGAAAATGGGAAGTGCTGCTGATGGAAATATATACAAAAGAAACAATTTCTGAATTGGCCCTTGCTTACCTTATCATAATCATATTGTGAAGAACATCTGTTGTCAAATCTAAGATATAAACAGCGGGCTCCTGGAATATGTACAGTTTCTTTAAATTTATAGTTATCCCTGACGGGATGAACTGTTTCTACAGTCTTCCCAGCAGCCCAGGGAGCAGGGATCTTCAAACCCGTAAGAAAACCTGGTTCTTCTTTCTCTTCCAGCATTCTGAAATTAGAGTGAAAAATTAGTCCTAAAATTCAAAACACAGATTTCTATTATATATTCAGACATCAAACTATAAAGTACCTAAAATCACCTCTCAGTATTGATACATAGCAACACAAAGTATTGACTCCTCATTTTAAGCATAACTGTATTGAGGGAACACGCAGAACAAATAGCATGAATACAGAGTTCATGGCATAGAAATAACTACGCCAATCTCTAACCTGTAAAATCTGAACTTTTCCCTATGCTTTCCAATTTCCCAATTATGGTAAACAAGCTAAGTAGCACCATAAAAAAAAAAAAGTAAATGGTACTATATACGGATCCTAACATACAACTGGTAGCATAAAAAAAACTTCCCTCCTGGGATAGCACCCAAAACTGATTATACTGTCATAAAACTATATGACTAATATTTCACTGAAGCTTATAATTTGGAGAAGGATTGAAAATAAATTCTTCAGAGTTTTCACATAGTATATTATACATTATCACAAGCTGCTTAATAGTACAAATTCTGCAACACTGCAAATAGCTATGATAAGCATTTTTTATTTAATTTAGCTGCATGTTTCTGCTTCTAAGCAGAAGCTGTATAACTCTGAGCTGAGACACAGGATTTAAATGCAGGACTTAAAATCATTATATTTCTCTATGTAAATGAAACCATTTAGTATCTTTCCAATGGTTTTAATACTGTATCTCATGCTGCCAGAGCAATTTACATTTTCTCATGATGGTCGTCCTTAGCCTAATTTATTGTAAGAGGGACATTTAGAATTAATTCCTAATGCTCGAGGTGAGGGAAAAACCAAAACAAAGCATACCCTGTGCAAACAACCTGAAGATATTAATCATTTAATTCTATATGCAAAAAAATTTTAGAACTAATTGCCTTTTGTAAAGGTTTATATATCTCTAAGACAGCCTTACAAACTATTACAGCTTTGCCCTTAATAAAAAACCCAAGATTGCCGCTTTAAGATTTATCCCACAGCAATGGTCAAATGAGCACTACAGCTAAGATATTTTATCCTATGAAAAGACCCAAATGTAAAGAAAATCACCTCTCATCAGGTAACAGCTTCCCTTTCTGTTCTGATGCACCACTGGGGGAACTGTTCAGTTCTGAGAAAACTGGAGACTGAGTTTTAAGCAGCAGTGCAGTCTGTGGCACAAAACATACAGTGTTAGAAACATGCAAACAGTAAATCATTTTAAGATCTCGTTATTGAAATATATGAACAATCGCACTGTTGTTATTGACAATAAATCATTACTTAGTAGCTGTTGTACCAAGTCAAATTTAATATTCAGCATTATCAGCTTTTGTAGCTGCTAAGCAATTCTTGAACTATAATCTGTGGATCACTTACTGAAGAAAATTGACCAAGATCTGCAGCATTTTAGAACACGCATGCCACATCTTTTTTTGCCTTTGTAGACAACTGCTGGCACAAAGACCATACCTGACTTGTGTAAAGAACCAGCTGCACCAGCTGAGGCATCAAGGCATCAGCCATAGTTAGAGTTTGCAAATTTGGATGCATCAGAGATGTCAGTAGGACGGGAAGCAGATGACCAAGCATAGTAGCCTTTGTAATTTGCTCCAGGCCTTTTAATCTGTAAGGAGAGTCAAGGTTTGTATAGTAACAACTATTTTCATAGAGTATCACTACTATTTTTAGTCATCTGTTTAATCTTGTATCAGACCGCGTAAGTAGGCAATTCAAAATTCAGCAGAGAATATTTGCATTATATTTTAAAAAAACAACCAAAAACTCAATGTCTTGAAAACATTACAAATTCTCCAAATTTCGTCCTACTCTTTGCTGTCAATTCTTACTAAACAATGATAGATCAGAAGACAGTAAATCAAGAGTTTAATAACTACTTATAAAATTTTAAGCTCCCATGGGCATGAGATGAAAGTCCACATCAAACACAAATGTATTTGTTCAGTATGTACATCAGGCTGCTAGCACACGTAGCTCAAAGCACTTTAAAAGAATCTGTATCTATAAAAACGTATTTGAGCATGAAACCCATCTGAAAACATCTCAAAGGAATTGTGTATTGTCAATAAACAAAACTAATTCTTGCAGGCACAGAAAAGCATAGAAACCTAAACCTGAAACACAAGTGGGAGAGGGAGGTGTTTGTTTAACTAGAGAAAAGGTTCACACCTTTTGTTTACGTCCCATTCCCAACATATATTTTTAAGTGGAAGGGAGACAGGGAAGGGCAAGGTGATGCTATCTGATGAAACATGCAGAATATCATAACAACATCCAAGACTTGTCACGGGTAAAATATCTAGTCCAGCTACTAGAGATGCAAGTCAGGAATTTAAAAGTTTAAAAATCGCCCTAGCTTATAGAAATATTCCCAGCTGACTAACTACAGTTTGTTTCCAGTTACTCCGCTCATAAATACCACTGTCACTAAAACCTTAGCAATTTGAAGAGTAGTGCTGACATGGAGAGTCAGATTCTAAATTCTTCAAAAGATAAGTGCTAAGCAAATGCTATAGTAAGAACCAGTTCCTATACATTCAAAGCTCAAGTATGAAGTTATAACATAAAGAACAAGTAATGCTAACTGTGCTTGTACAGTAAGCCACAAAAAGCAACCATTTACTGTTTTCAAGTTAACAGACTCATACTTGTCTTACCTTTGCTCTCTATCAGAGATGTCACTGTTTATTAGTGCTGTAGTGACTTGTTGCAGCATTTCTAAGACTTCATCACATCCTGTCAGAATTTGCGTAGCAAGAGACAAAATGCTGGTCTTTAGCTCCTAGGTACAAAAAGAATTATAGGATACTTAAATTCTTAGAGAATACAAAAAAACCAACAACAGAACAAAACGATGGATTTCCAAATTAAAATAATGATAATGTGACCTGGCAGGCCTGCAGCAGTAGATTCATCCAAGACTTAAATTTGATTAATGCTAAGCCTCAAAGTGCTGGGAGAAACTAGGTGCATATTTTACAGGATGCACATCCAGTTTCTAGAGGGAAGGAATCCCCAAGTCCAGCACAGGAGAGAGAGCTGTTAGCCAGCCAAGGTACAGCATTGGTGACAGAATGTCCTAGCAGGTATGAGGATCACTGTAGAGAGAGAAACTGAACAATGAAAACATGGGTGAATAGTGAGACAAGAAAAGTACTGCAATATTTAGCATTTACTCAACAAGCCTGAACAAATAACTTTCAGCTGCAGCAGATTACAAGCACACAAAGTCTCAAAGAGTAGCAGACAAACCCAGCTTAACAAACATTACCAGAAGTTCAGAAGTCAATACCATTATAGAGGAATTGTTGCTGTAACAAAAATTACTGTGACAAGACAGCCTGCATGCTAGGACAAGCCTGGCTTCTATGAGTTCATTCAAGACTATTCCAGCAGTAATACAAAGTGACACCATTTTAATAAACCTTATACCAACAAAACAACCACTGTCCGCAAACCTTGTCCTCTAACAGTTTCCTTGCCACAAACATTATTCACGCTATTTCAGACAACAGATGCAGGTGGTTCTACATAAGCTTTAGAAGTTAAAACTGCAAAAAAGCAGGAGCCAGGTAAGGCAAACGAGAAAACCTCTTCCTATTTAAATTTGAAAAATATTTTTTCAAAGACCACCGAAGTGATTTGGACAAGAGAAACTGGGGGGGTGGCAACATGTCCAGAAAGGACTCCTGGCAGATACATTTTCTTACTAGCACATATTAATTGAAATACATTTTAAATGTCACTATATGGATGTTTAGGAAGGGAACTGTCTGCTCTCACTGACAATACAGAACCCAAGCTGGTTCTTGGGTTGAACCCAACTCGACACACAACAACTGCAGACTTTAGCTGGAGAACAGGGGGAAAGAAAAAAAACCCAAAACTGTCTACGGTAATTTAACTATATCAAGAGGAAAAGAATCAACAAAACAGTGTAAGTAGAATGCATTGCAGAAACAAGAGGTGTCACAGGAACACTGACTGTAGAGAGCCATACTAGAATAAAACTTGGTGTTTACCTGTACCTTCAATGTCTCTCCCTGCAAGGAGCTGTCACTGTCATCATTTTCATCAGGTTTAATCAAAATAGTGTTACTGAGGAGGTGGTTCTGTACAGCCATCAGATACCGCAAACACGAAGATGCAGCCTTTAACATAAATAAGTACACTTTACATGATCTAAACCCTTTAATCAACCTTGACTCAGGCAATCCTTATACTTTGAAATATAAAAGAGGAAAAAAGTTGGGGGAGAAGACAAGCGAAAGCAAAAAATAATTTCTCTTGAACAGAAATTCTTTTTGCTGATTTAACGCAAGCTTGTTAATACATATTTAAGAGAAGAAACTGGTTGCAAAATACTGAATTTTGTGAAATAACTTGCAAAACATATTAAGAAGCAGTACGGTTTTATTCAAGTAGGCAACATTATAGTAATAATCCAGTCCTGTAACATTAATTAATTCTTGAAAGATAATGCCACCATAGAGCTAAATTTAATTCACATTCCTGAAGGTGATGTTCCATGCTACTACTCTCTTCCCACCTCCTGCAGGCCGTGACTTCCTGTCCCCTCCCCAGTGTTTGCACGCAAGCACGCCCGCCTTTGCCATCAGCCGGACCAGGGAGCTGCTCATGCTGAACACATCTACAGATACTTTTACCATTAAATAAGGTTAACTTTCACTCATTTTTGTCTGTGAATCATTATACACAACTGTAGGAAAAGCTTATTTTGTTTTGTGTTTTGTTTTTTTTTTTTAAATTGTTGTAATGCTTTGAAGATTGAGATACACAAACTTCCTTTAAATTGAAACAGCTACCAGAGCAACTGGGAAATATATTCATATATAAACCTGTTCTAGCATTACTATATGATTTGCTTTGCTATGAGAAATTGTTTCTTCCTTTCCTGCACAGCATAAACAAAAGACATTCTTTTCCTGTATTTGTTAAGACACACAGCTATAAAAGTTCCACCTCTATATACACTCAGTAAAGATGATGGATTTAAGGGGGAAAAGGAAGCCCGAGGCAAATTTACTTTTATCAAAATACATTTTACTTACAGGCACAGTTGAAAGAAGCCTTTGAAAATCATCTTTAGATACAGTTTGGCACTTGGTGATTAAGACACAAGATTCTCGGACAACAATCTTGAGAATGTAGTGCAACAGCTCATCATTTAGTCTTCAAAAAATGCAGGAGAGATTAAAAATGTTAATAGTCCAATTATTGTGTACTTTGTATAGCTCACCTCAAAAGTCTCTGCAAGCTGTATCACAAATTATGTGAATCCAAAACAAACTTTAGAGATTCAGACACAAAGAAAACCAAGCCTGAAATGTTTAACAACAATCAATGCAACGGATTACCAGTTATTTCTTGCACTGCGCTAATATAAATCTATGATTTGTAATGACTCCTAAAAAAAAAAAAAATAGACTCCTCCCAACTTGAATGGGTACTTGAGATTGACAGTTTTACTGCTGAAAAGTCACCTAAGACAGTGATATGGAGAGCAACATCACAATATCATACTTATGAATTATCATCCACATTCACCATATATATGGTAAGTAGCAGGGAATCCAAACTTAAGTTTGCATACAAAAGTCTCCAAAAAGTTTCCCCTAAAACGTCAAACCT